CCTGTGATTACTAAGAGAAGCTGCAGTAGAAAAGAGATAAGCACACCCTTGCAGTGGAACTACCTGAGCAAAACCAAGCTCTGCTCCCCCAGCCAGCAAGAGCCAAACCTCAGCTGAAACAGAGGCACAGAAGTTTCCCAGGGGTTTCAGGAGCTCAGCAGGGATGGATGGGAAGCAGAATATCTGGGCTGATCATCTGTTCTCAGACAGATATCCCCCCCATTTAGGAAAACATTTGCCGATTTGCTTAATTCACCTGCTAATTGGGAACGTGCTCGACCTCACGCTTGCCCCTTTCCGGGCAACCCCTTCCTTTCAGATGCATATGCAGCGATTCATTGGCCCTCTCACCCAGGGCTCTCCTCAGCTGGAGCTCACGTTCCTGCTGCTCAGACCTCCCACCAAGGCACATCACCTGCCCGAGCACAGACAGGTTTTCGGCTGGGCTCTGTGCTGTGAGGGGACCTTCTGAAGCACCGCTGCTCTTGGGTGCTCTCAGGGGAACTGTGATTCTTTAAAAACTGCCTTAATACATTAATACTCTTATAGCAACCTGAGCAGGCCCTGTGCAAACATGAAACGACAGAGGACACACACTGGCCCTGTCACTGGTGATCAAACACTAGTTTAACGTGTAACTGAATGAAAGCAGATCCCATAAAAACAAGCTGCACAACACTAGTCTTCATTTCAGCACCACCCGTGTCAGAGAACCCTCCACAACCCCCTGGAAATCACTCCCACCAAACGTCCATCATCTCTGGAAATCTGCAACACGAGCCTCTCTGGCATCAGCTTCTGGCCCCTCCTGTGCTGCCACAAGGGATGCAAAAGCTGTGCCACAGCCAGGTTTACACTCCCTGCTGGCCACGGCGGGTACCTGGCAGCCTCCTGAAGCAGGCACACAGCCAGATTTTCGCCACAGATCCCCCGAACCCCACAGTACCCGTGCTCGGGACGGTGCAGCACACACCAGCTGAAGCACCACAGCTTGGTGCCCCTCTTCCTGAGGCTGATCATCCTGTATCTCCCTTTTAGAAAACGATTCTTTGTTCTGCACTTAATTACTTCACGTACTAGATTTCTATCTACAAGTCTGTTTCAGTGACAGTGATGGAGAAGCCAAGCCCACATTCCTTTCACAAATCTTTATTTGTTTTCAGCATATAAATATGTAGAGGCAACTGCTTTGTCTTCACAGCACTGCAAAAGATCATTTCGGCAGCCTGCAGTACTTCACCATCTGGTGAAGGAATACTGCACCCCTCAGAGGAAAGCAAAATCCCTTCCTTAAAGTGTTTACACCCTGAGGCAACAGCCCACAAAGGCAAGGAGACAGATAAAATCAGTGTAAGCACCAGCCTCTTACCTTCACTTTTGTTTTGGCCATGCTTCATTTTCTGGTTAAGGAAATGGGTGACAGCCAAACGTGGTTAACTGACTACTTCAGAGCCCAAAGTCAGGTGGTGCAAACACCTTGCTGTCGTCCAGCAAACTATTTTAGACCATAAAGTGTGGGGGTTTGAACCCCGAGCCCTGAATCAAAATAGACATGTGGATGATTGCCACAAGCAGGCAGTTTTTCAGCAGCAGGAGAGACCTTCCTCTTGGCTTCCTCTCAAGACCCAGCCAGCCTTGGGTGAAAACCCCTTAGGAAGATATCCTCTTGGGTCCCACCTTTGAAGTTAACACCAGGTGTCTCACCTTCAAAGTTAATAGTATCAAAACTGGTTCCACTTGCAGTGGGCTTAGGAAAGCTGTCTGTGGGGGGCACTGAGCAGGGTTTCTTTGTTACTGGGAGGGCTCCTTCTCTGTCCCCTGTAACCAGTCCTCAGCAGTGCTGGGACAGGAGTGGGAGCTGGACAGAACAAGGGTGGGGTGGCATCTGAGGAACTGCCATGGTGGCTTTCACGTGATTGTGACTGGACTTTTGGCTTGGCTTATTCTTTCCTTCTTTACAGGATCCCTGGTGTGGCTTACTCCTTTCCTTGGTGGTGTTATCTACTAGGAGTATCTATAGTGATCTGTTTGGTTGTCCTGTTGTTAACCACATCACATTCTTCCTGTGTTCAGTGGAATTGGATAGTCAAGTCTGTTTCCTGCTATTGCCCATATCCTTTATGCTGGGCCATGCAACTGGCCAAACAAACCATCATCCTGTTCAAGCTGTCCCATTTCTGTAGCACAGAATCTCAGAACAAGTCAACACAAGTGAAAACATAAGCCTACACCTTCAGGCTACATCTGACTAGTACAAGGAATTCCCTGAAAAAAAAACAAAAACCTCTCTTTTTCCTGTTTGTGGCTGTGAACTCAGTTCTGCCTGCTGAAGTGCCTGAGTGAGAATCAGTCCCTGGCCACCACCAGCCCCTGGTGGAGCGGGCTGAGTTGGGGAAAGCAGTCTGCAAGCACCTTTCATTCAGCTCTGTCTTGGCTTTTCCTTGGGACAGTGAGGGCTTTGGGAACTCTGACTCATGCCTTCTAATGCCAGAATACAAGTGGCAACCCCCCAACCCACCTATCTGAGTGGTGGCAAGTGTAAAGCTGACCTGGAAATAGATTTATGGTCCGATTTTTTTAGAATCGGATGTGTTATAAGTAAGCAAGCACGACAGACAGAGGCAGTGACTGTAAGTGCCCAAGCTCTACCATGTATCTGGACCAGTTACACACCTCAGTGCACAGAGAAGATTCTGCAGTCTTTGGCTTGTCACTTATGGAAGCTTGCACACTGCTAATATTCAGTGTTTAGCAAGAGCTGTTTCATTCTCTAGAGTCTAGAGTGTGATGACTGGACAATGTGTGTCAGTGTATTCTGCCCTTAAGAGCACCTTCTTCCTTTTCATAGTCTCCAAATCTCAGGGGCCTCTGGTCTGGCCGGGTTAGATTTCATTAGAACCTTGAGGAGGAAACCAAAGGCATCTGAACAGTGTCTCCACCCTTTTTGCCCTCTTTCAGACTCTCCTCTCTCCTGCTTGAGGGATGGTGCCAGTCTGCAGCAATATGGTGCATTCTTCAAATCCAAAATAAGACTTCATGCCCCTCTGATTAGATGTTACCTGTTCAACTACTGTCTGAATGAAGTAGCTGTTAGGTAAGCCAGCAAATGGTTGTAACAGTCTACCTGTGTCAGAGGAAGTTCAGATTAGCAGAGGTAAGCACAAGGTGCTGCTCAAAGCTTCGGAAGCTCCCAAGACATGAAGAACAGGAATTAAACAGCGTTTAGTCAGACTTCTCAATCCCCTCTGTGTGATGTTCTTCCATTGCTGACCACAGTGAGAGATGTGCCAGTGGTCCAGCCTGGTGTGGCCTCTTTTATGTTCTTGTACAGACAGAAGACAAAGCTCAAGGTTCTCCTCCTGTGGGCTGAGCTGAAAGGGCCAATTTCCAGGGGCTGAGCAGTGTACTGGGGGCCTGCCTCTGCCTAAGCAGTCTATTGTGGTTCTTTGCTGGGGGCTCGGGAGGCTGGAGCTGGGGAGGAGACGTGTCTGAGAAGCCTGGTAAGGTGATGGGACGTGTGCTGCATCCGCAGGGATGCTGCGGTGTTAGAGAGGAGGCGGTAACAGTTAAAGCAGGAGCTGGCTGTGTGAGGGAAACTTTGTGCCAGGGAGGTGAACATGTCATCTAGAATGGAACAAAGGCTGAGTGAGTCGTCGTGAGGAAGACGTGAAACATCAAAAAAAGTCAGGAAAAATCCACTGCAAAACCTGAGTTGCAGAAAGATAAAACCCCAGAATTTCTAAACACTGCTGTGAACAGAGTTCTCTTTTTTCCCAATCCACAGGCACCAACTGTATTCCAGAACAGAAGGACAAAGAAACTCCCAGTAGAACTTTTTTTCCAGACCCTTATCAGGAATATTTTCTTGCATGCTAGTTCTACCTTGGCCCAGATACACAGTGACCCAGAATTCTAATCGTCTGGCCACAGGTGCTCCCTGTGAAGCTGGTTGTAAAACAGTTGTAAGTGTCACAAGAAACAGGCTGAAAGATGGCATTCAGCCCCCTCCTGCCCACCTTGGGCAGTCTGAGAAATAAGGCAAAAATAAATGAGTCAGAGGAAGTTAATGAGCCCACCACCTCACGAGAACACTGAGCTGGACACACAGCCCCTGGGTCCATTGGAGGCTCTTCTCCAGCCTGGTGCCAGTGCCGTAAGCAGGGTGACCAGCACCTGGCACACGTTGCTGGCTCTCTCCTCCTCTCCTCGGGAAGCAGCCTCTGTGCCAGTGTCTTCTCCAGCCGGGCTGTCTGCTGCCTTCCTGAGAAGTGCTGCTCGGCGTGGGTGCTGCAGAGAGCAGCCACAGCTTCAGGCCCTGTGTCGAGGCAGCGGGGAGGTGTGGGCCAGCGCTCCGTTCGTGTCAGCGTCTGCTCCCTGGCCTCTGCAGAAGGGTTAAGTTTTGCCTGACCCACAGGCAGGCTTCCCTCTGTCTGCAGCACTGCCCTTGGGTGCTGTTGTAACCGGGCTTCTCAGGCCAGCACCTCTTGGCAATCCCTGTCTGCCGTGAGACAGGAAAATCCAACCTCTCGAGCAAATCGGGGCACGAGCCCTCAGAAATATTGCCAGAGAGCTGATCCAACATTTGGATGCACTTTCTGTGAGTTACCAGCCAGGCCCAGCCCCTTCTGCTGACGTCCTTCCTCTCGATCACACATCAGACTTTTCCCAGTGGAGCTGGAGAACAGGCTTCAATGAAAACTGCCTGTTTGCAGCTCGATGGAGACCGCAGGCACCATGATCACCATTTCCTCTGCCTGACCTGGAGCAGAAACTCCTTCATCACGATAGAAAGGTAGCCCTGTTGCCTAGCAAAAGTGGGATGATCTGCCTCTGTCTCTAGATCGGTCCCTTTTCTTTGCTGCACGAGAGAATTGTTTTCAGACTTGCAAGGAGAATGAAGCCAGGCTAGAAATCGGAGTGGCTGCGCGGGAGCTGCTCTCCCAGGCAGCAGAAGGAGTCCTGGGGTTTCTGTGCTCGTTGCTCCCGTGCCGCTCAGGACCATGGTTTTATCAGCCCCAGTGATAGCCCTGGGGGCTACCTTAGGGACTGCAACCAGCATCCTCGCCCTCTGCGGGCTCACCTGCCTCTGCAAATGCAAGCAGCCTGGGAAAGGACTCTCCGAGAAGGACCCGGATTGTGACCCAGGAAACACTAAGCCCACTAAGCCCAGCGTGCTTCAGCCAGTCCAGCAAGTAAGACCCGGTCTCTCTAATTTACTCTGTGATTGTGCTTTAAATGCAGAGGGTGGGAGTGCAACTTCTGTCACTACCCAGCCCGTGATTTATGCTGCCTGCTTATCTGCTTACTGTGCTCAGGATGTAACAACACGTTCGTGGGTGGAGGAGGAGTGAGGGAAAACCAGGGACGGGCTGGGTGGCCCCCGGGAGCAGGAGACAGCTGCCATGCTGACAGAGAAGGCTGCTAATGGCAAGGACAGGGGAGGAGGACTGCCAGTGCTGTTTACCTGACAAGCTAGATCACAAGGGAAATGATTTCCTGAGGCGAGGTGACTGGTCTTGGCCAGGTGGCACACAGCACTGCCAAGGGCAGGTGCCTCCTGCTGCCACCTCCTACAGCAGCTCTCTCGCTAACTCGGGCCACAGCATCTTAGAGTTCCTGCAGGATAGGGCCCTGTCAACAGCTGGTTCCTTGTGAAAACCATCCCTCCTCCTCCCTCTAGCTCAGGAGATTAATTGTGTCTGAAGTTAGGACAAGGCATTGAAATGATCATAAAATGGGGGTGCGAATCCAGCATGTGATGACTGGACAACCTGCTCACACTGAATTGCCTTCTCAGTGCAAGAGCCATGTGGAGTACGGGTCATGTTGGGCACCTCTGTGTGCTCTGTCTCACCTGCCTGAACCCCGAAACCCTGGCTTGCTCCTGAGCTCAGTGCAGAGGAGAGCAAGGGGAATTACAGGACCCTGCTAATACACTTACTAGTGGGAAGCTGCCCTTCCAAGGGGGATGTTTGACTGATTTCTTTGACTGACCATGGTCTGCACAAGCTACAGCCCTGGTCAGTCTCTGAAAGCATGACCTGTTGGCTGCAGCTCTTGGCCTTTTAGTGTCTGTGTCCTCACTTCCAGACATTTGGCCAAATGTACTGCCATAGCAGCCAATTACAAAGGCTGGTGCCCCATTGTGTAACAGCCTCTTTTTACCTTTTAATTATCTGAGCTGCCCATTATTTTTTGAATTCTCGAAGGGTGTAGCAGGAGTTCTAACTGAACTTCTCTGTACTGTTTGTTTGTAATTTTGACACACTCAGTCTCTCTCTGGCTACCACTCTCAGGCTCAGTAGAAAGGAGCCGTGGCACCCTCATGCTCCTGTTGCAGTTTGTTCTGAGGAAAGATGGCCAAATCTGCTACTGGTACTGAGATCTGGTGCAGACACACAGACTCGTGGTACCAGAGCCTCTGGTTGCCAGAGGGTGGGAGGGTGGCTCCACTGACCATGGGTGAATGTCTGTGTGAGCTTAGGACTTCACAAGACATTGCTGCTACTTCTGAGCACTCGTCCACGAGCAGGGTGAATACCTCCCAGTACCTGTTTGCATTTTCCTAGGATGAATGTCATCTGCTGTTCTGTTTGATGGTCTTGTCATGTCCTTTCCAGGCTCCTTTCTTGCCTCTTCTAGCCCCTACAGGGGATTTGCCAACTCCTGTATGTAAGGATGTAAATAATGCTGAGACTTTCCAAGTCTACTGTTAAAATGAATGTAGAATGTGTAACTTTGACTGTCATACCCCTTTGCACAGCATTTTTTGTAGCTGTTGTCTGGAACAACACTACCCACAGACAACTTCACCATCAGTCCCTTTCTATAAGAGACTTCTTGTTGCAGTCTTCTAGCTCAGAAACCTCTTGCATCTTTAGCTCTGTCCTTGAACTGGATATTTTTGTTTTATACAGCTTTTTGGGAAAAGGCTTGGGAAAGTGTTAGCCTGTCCTGGAGCTTGTCCTCCAGGGTGTCATCCTGCTCTCATGACTGAAGCACTAAGTCATCCTAAAGTCCAATTAAGCCTCCAGTACTCAGCAGTTACTAGTTACGGTCCTCCCAATATTTCAACATTTGTCCAGTTTTGCTATAGCTTAATCCAGTATTTGACCAACAGGGGATCAAATGACTCAACGTGCCCTCAGTGTATCACTGTTACCTGAGCAATTGCATTCCCTTAGCAGTGTGGGCTTTCTAATTAATAATAACGAACATTATTTCTAATGCTACTGTTTGGTTTTTCTTTTAAAGAAATCTTGCCAAACTATAGCAGCCGAATGAACATTCTGTCACAGAAAGTGCAAAATGTTCTGAGTTGGCATATTCCATATGCCTGACAACTCTTCCCAATAAATTAGCTCTGCTGCCAGGAGCAGGCCTTCTCCTGAGCTGTCACTGCTTTGGAGCCAGGCTACACACCTTGCAGGAATGGATCTCAAAGGGAGTTCTGGGCTTGTGAAGTGTTATCATCTCTGTCTGTGTTTACAGATTGTCCTGTCAGGACTTTTTTCCAACTCCATTAGTACAATCAATGTCCTAGCTGGTGCTTGACATGCTGAACTGTTGAAGCCTGTCAGGGCCACTGTTTCTGATCAACAGAGGTGACAAAAGGAAGGTGAAGCAAGACTGTGTTTTATCTGCTCGGCATGTCTCCCGTGGCAGCCACGCCTGTATCTGCTGCAGGCAGAGGCTCCCCGGGGACGTGCCCTGCACATGTGATGGGGAAGGGTTCCAACACAGACTGACACCCACAGAACATGAAAAACTGCTGTAAATGAGCCAAGCCTCAGCAAAGTGTCCAGAATGAAGATCCCAAACACACTCAAAAAGCTGCTCCACTGCTTGAGTGGCCCTGGGCAGGGCCCCAGAAGGGTCAGCTGCAGCCTCCCTGTGACTTCTGGTTTCTCTATTTTCATGCGTTTCATGCAGAACTACCTGAACATTTCTGCTCATCTCTTTATTTAAAGGGTGCTGTGGATGTGCAAAGGGAACTTCCACAGGGAAGTAACCGGATCAGCAGACAGCACTAGGGAATGGAGCTGGCAGCAAAAACCATCAACAGAGGCAGATGCACTGGGAAGAGGGGGTGGGCTGGTCCCACTGAGCTTGCATATGTCTCATCTCCAGCTCTGCGCAGCAGACAGGCAAGAGGAATATTTAGACCCAGCAGAGCTCTTTGTTGCTCTGTGCTGATGGATTTCCTGACTACGTCTGGCTTTGAGCGAGGGGCAGGGAAGAGGGGTGTCCCTCCCAGGCTGCACCCCCGGAGCTCAGCCGCACGCCGCGGTGTCTCCTCTCAGCCCACGTCCCCCCGGGCCCCTCACGCCAGACACGAGGGCGCTGAGCACCCAGCAGGGCTCCCTGACACTGTGCACTGCCTGCCTGCAGGGGACGGAGCTGCTGGCCTGACTGTTCCCCCGGCACCGCCAGCGGCACGCAGCCAGCTCTGCTCCTCAGCTCTGCCCAGGACAGGCCCCCTCCCTGGGGACGTGCCAGCGGGGACCACCCGCTCCCAGCAGGGGCCAGTGCCGCAGGGCTCCCCTGCACTCATTACTGACGGGAAACAAAGAGACCAAGGGGAAGCCTTAATTACAGCTATGCATTTTCTGGCTCGCCCTCCACCCAAACTTAACCCAGAAAAGGCTGTCAGGCAGCAGAGCTGGAGAGAATCCCACTGCACAATTATCAACCAAAATGGCAGCTTTACCTCTGCTTTTTGTCTTTTGTGTTTTGGAAGCATTCATAAAATCTGTTTCAAGGGACGGGGTCACTTGCTAGTCAGCTGATGAATCCAAATAGAAATGAGTCAAGTACGATTTCAGCTGTGAGCAGACAGGATTCTGTCTTGGGGCATGTGGAAAAGAGGACCGTAGAAGTCCACAGAAATATTTTCTCATTGTTTTGGGCAAACACTAATGGCTTTGAGACGACCTTTGCTTGGGCTGCCTGAGCATTTCACCACCTTCCAGGTTCTTATGCTCGTTCCATCTTAATGATTCAGCAGGGAATTGAATGTTAAGAACAAAGCTGACCATGTTAAGAACAAAGCTGACCATAAATACAAATTTCAATTCTGGTATAACAAAGCGGAAACGTGTGTCTGGGGGTCAGGCAGAGATTTGGTCCCGACAGGGAAGAGAGAGTCCAAGAGGCTGAGGTGACCACTGATCCAGCTACTCTTGGCACGCCATTGCAGGTCTCATTTGTTCAGCCAGTTCTACTCTGTCACCATGGCTGTGCTTGCTCCAAGTGCCTGTATGACCCATGCCTTTGTCTTTCCAATGCCTGCTGCATACTCACCTAGAGTGTTCTGAAACCTCTGTGCAGCTATAGCCTCTTGGTCTCAGATTTCACTTCAAACATCAGGGTAAAAAACACCACACCTCAATCACAGCAACATTAACTCCATGGCTCACATTTGTGCCAAGAGAAAACACATTACTATCGAGGAATAATCAAACAACACAAATGTGTCTTTTTCTTGTTGCAGTGTGTAGAGGAGTAAACCTAAACAGACATACAAGCAGAAGGGTATTGGCTTTGGCAAGAAAACCTCTGGGCATACAGGCTGTGGCTTCTACAACCCAAGAAACAATGAGGGTGGGAAGGACCTGAGGCACACTCTTTTCTCCCTTTGTCTCAGCTCACTTAACATCGGGGGAAATTAGTCTAATTAGTGCAAAGTAATAAACAAGGTTTTAATTTTCAGTTCAACGTTAAGAAAACCGCAGAGCCAGTCCAGCCTCGAGCACTCCTGAAGTTTCCCAACATTTATGGCCCCAAACCAGCAGTAACTTCACCTGAAATTGTTAACTACACGCAGTACTCCCTGAAGACAACAGAAGCAGCAGCTCCTGGAAAACTCACTGGTTTGGATGAGAACAGGGTGAAGATACAAGTCAATGAGGAGCTGTTTGTTCTCCCTCAAAACGGTAGGAGCATTTGGTCTTCAGACCAACAGTTGCTTTTCTGGGTGTAGACCTGTAATACTTCTGAGCATAATGTCATTGTAGTTAGAGTAACAAATGGGATGATGAAGAGGTGGGGAACTTTGCCCTCTTGCATCATGAGCACTGTCAGTTCTGTCTGAAATGCATGTGTTTGATAGCAAGTACTCATGGGGCTCCTCAGGACATTCAGATACCAAAGCTGTACTGCCTGGTTGTAGAGGGTTTTTTACCTAAACACTTTGAGTGTTGAAGAAAGTGGCTCACTGGAAGCAAATGCTTTGCAGAAAAACATGTCTTTCATTTTCCTGAGAGCAGCATGGGTGAAATATCTGCCCAAACTAGGCAGAATATCTCTTCCAGAACAGATGCTGGCTGTCCAGCAACTGTCCTGCTCAGGGGCAGCAGCAGCAGCAGTTCAAGCTTCTGCTTTAACTTCTCCACTGCCTTTTTCCCACCAGTTTGGTGACAAGGTCCTGGCTTGTAATGTCCAGTGAAACCAAAGGCTGGCACCTCAGACAGCTTTGCCAAAGAGAATTCTTGTTTTCCAGCCAGCCCAAAGGGTAACAAGCCAAAGCCCAGAACAGAGGATTCTGCAGAGAAAATGCCATGGGACTTACACACTTGTGGCAGCACATCTGGGCTGCCTCCAGACTGATTTACCTTCACAGCTCTTTGAACAGATAACTGACTCCTATGGTCACCAAACCCATAAACCTTCCTGAGGATTCACCAGAGACACAATGCCACCTGTCATGATTTTTTTTTTAAGAAAACCTTTTTTACTTTTTTTTTAAAATGGCCTTAGATTATATTCTTGTCCTTCTGGGAGGACAGCTGCTACACTCATCCCTCCACCCTCAGAGCTGTGAGTGTGGAAAGGAGAGTGCAACGGTGAGCAGCTGCACGGGAGGCAGGGACTGTCTGAGCCACATCCTCCGGAGCCAGGGAGAAGATGATAGGTTGGGGAGGCTGCATGTAGGCCAAAGCTTTATGTAAGTGTGTTGGTGTAAGAGTCTCTGCACTGCTACTGGCAGAAGCAAGTCTGCTGCCTGCTGTGCCTGCTTTCATAGCTCCAGCATTGCTGACATGAAGCAAGAATTGTGTTCTTTTGGTGCCACACTCAGATGGTCTGGGCTGTGGCTGAAAGTTTTGGGAGGACTGGCCCCACTATTTTTTTTGCATGAATCAGAGCTGACCTTGCAGGTAGCAGCTGTTGATGACAAAAAGCTGGGACCTCCCCTTTAGTCTTGCAGCTTGATTTACTTCAGTATGAGATGTAATCTGTTTCAAAATCCTGCATGGAGGAACTGCCTCACAGCTGCCCCAGCTCATTACCAACCTGGTCAAGCTATGGAAACAGATGTATTCTGCATGGCAAAGATGGTATCATTAACATAAAGAAAACATTTAGAGAGGTCTGGACTAACTGCAGGGCTGCATGGAAAATGGAACTTCACAGGAATCTGAGTTCTCATGAGAACTCCCCTCTGGAGAACACCGGATTTAATTCACCAGTGTGAGTTAAAAACAATTCAAAACCATACAACCTAGGAGTGTAGCTTAGACACCTTGGCAGAGGCAGAAGGTGAAGAGCAAGTGTGTGAACCATCTTAGACCACAAGGTGGTAAGGAGCAGAAAGCTTGTCCAAGTGCTGCCAAAAGAGCTAAAAGTGTGGGAGAAGAGGGGAAAAAGATGGTATGGTGATGGAGGAGAAGGAACAGAAACGATAGTTCTGCAGACCAGGTGCAGGAACAGTAAAACGTGTAGAAAAGCTGGGCCACGACAGGGTGGCTCTGTCCTCCTCGAAGGGAGGGGAGCTGCTGGCTGAGGGGCTGGTTTCAGTTGCAGGTGTCGTGACAGACGTGTGTGTGACAGAGCCCCTGAACCCCGAGAGGGTGGCTGGTGGCACCCAGGCCCCCGAGCTGCACTACTCCCTCCTCTATGACCCACAGCACGCCGAGCTCCGGGTGGCCCTCCTGGAAGGTAAGGGACAGAGATCTTCCCCTGCTGATCCTCCCTCTGGAGGGTACACGGCACCCGTTGATTTTAGAGGGTTCCCCTCCTGCCTTAAAATCAAGCCGTGCCCCCAGGACCACTGCACGTTTCAGTCGGTTTGGGCTTACACAACAGAAACACCTGGCAAGGTCATGGCCTGGGGACAACTATCTGCTCACCTCAAAAGCAGAAGCTGGGAACCAGGAGGGGCTCCTCCAGTCCCAGATATAGTACAAACCAACCTTTCCTTTTTGTTTCCCCCACAGGGGCAGGGGCAAGGCAGCTCCCTATCTCCTTCCTCTCTATAGCTTCTGTTCTTCAACTTGACCCACTTCCTACCGCCTCTCCCTCACCTCAAGTCAAAGGCTGAGCTGGAGATACCAGAGTGATGTTGGAGGCCCCTGAGGAAGGTCTCTCTGGCTGTGCCTGGCCAGGTTCTGTGTCACTGTCTGAAGTGAGAACTGACAGCTGTAACTGCTTCTCAGCTCAGGGCTGGAGCGTCAGCAGTTCCTCTGGGACAGTAAAATCAGCTGCCTGAATAATTCATGCACAGTGCAGATCTCTGTGGAGAACAAACCGACCTCAGCCTCTGCAGGGAGGACTGAAGGGGTGCTCAGTGGCCTGCCAGCAGCAAGCCCACAGCTCCTGTCCAGGGAGGGGACCCCTGCCCCCCCCCCAGCCCTCCTGCACCTCCCTGGGTGTCCCACTGCCCCCCGGGCAGCACCCGGCTCTGCTCCCCCGAGAGAGCAGGAGACCCCCTGAGCCAGGGGACCCCAGCTCTGGAGCAGCAGCTGTGGCAGGGGCAGCAGGACAAGGATGTGGTGCCCCAGGAGGAGGGCGCCGCAGCGTGTTCTCACGGCTGACTGCCCCCGGCCAGCAGGAGCAGGGGCCAATGTCTCTGCAGCTGTTTTATTTCACAAGCAGTTTGGCCACAGGTATTTCAGGGCTGTCTTTGTTAGAGGTCCTTACAGCCTATCTTTCTCTTCCAGCTATGCACGGCAGAATCAGTGGGGACCAAGATGCTGGCTGCCACTGTTACGTGCTGGGCACGCTGGAGAGCAAGGCCGGCACTGCCGAGGCCCAGACAGAGCTGAAGAAGAAGGTGCCCCACACCCTCTGGGAGGAGGCCCTGCGGTTCCCCGTGACGGAGCAGGAGATGGCAGAGGCCACACTGACTCTCACCCTGAGGAACTGCGACAAGTTCTCCAGGCACAGCATCGTGGGGGAGCTCAGACTGAGCCTCGCCAGCGCGGAGGAGTCCTTTGGGAGGGCCCAGTGGGAACGGCTCAAGACCCCGGAGAAGGTAAGGACTACCCTTGGAGAAGGTAAGGACTACCCTTGGAGAAGGTATGGACTACCCTTGGAGAAGGTAAGGACTACCCTTGGAGAAGGTAAGGACTACCCTTGGAGAAGGTATGGACTACCCTTGGAGAAGGTAAGGACTACCCACACAGGCTGAGCCCAGAAGCCCCGATGACTAATCACTCAGATAACAGACCTGCACATCAGTGAGTGGCTTTGTGTGGAGCCAGGTTTAGAGGGGTGGGACGTGTGGCTGGCAGGGTCCCTCAGCACTGCTCCCTGCTGCTCTGTAGCTAACCAATTCGGAAAGCAATCAAAGGCCATCAGCCCAGCCCTCCCATCTGCAGCTGCCTCTCCTCCTCCCTCCAGTACATGACAATCTGACGCTGATGTCTGTCATTCACAGCCTAAGTCTAGGAAAAGTTACGTGAGTTTCTGTGAATTAGCGATGGGGGGGTGGTGCTGTGGCACAAGTGCCACCCCGGGGAGCCCTCCCAGCTGTGAAACAGCTGTTGGGAATGGATGTTGGACTGAAGAGCACTTATCCTTACTGGGATCAATCCAGCCGTGCTATTCATGGGGGGATGTCAAGCTATCACTCAGGCTTTGTGTTCATTTCCTTAAAGAACCTCCCGTTCTGTCCCTGTCCACACGCCCCGGGCTGCAGGGGCAGGGAGGAGGGAAGTGCCCGCTGCAGGCTGGCAGGCAGGGCAGGGGGTGAGGAACCCCCTGCTGAGTGGGCACAGATCAGTCACTGCCTGTCCCTGCCAGGGCTGAGGGCTGGCCACTGAGCTGGCCAGAGTTTCTGTTTCAGCTTCCCAGTAATGCTGATGGATCTGATGGCCACTCGAATGCTCACAGGGCTGGCCCCTCCAAATCCTCTACCAGAGGTAGAGGCAGCAGGAGCTAAGGGCTGGCCTGAGTCAGTTCAGTCAGCTTCCAGCACGAGGCCAAGTCTTTGCCTAAGAGCCATACATGAAATGATTGCCCGGCCTGCTGCTGTAAAAAGAGGTGTCCAAAAGAAATCACTCCAATATAATGATTTAAATTCCTAAACTGAGGTAGCCTGAGCCCCTCCCAGCCCTCCAGTCTGCTGTGGCCTCTGCTCTGTAGGCAGTG